CGCCCCCCCAAGCGGAGCCACAAAATTTGGGAGTCCCGCAGCGGTGCGGTGACAGACCGTGCGGTGACCTCGAGCTCCCCCAAAAACCTCACCGCACGGTCCGTCCGGAATCCAGGGCGTATCCCACACATCCGTACGGACCCTGGATACTCCAGGGCAGAGAAGAAGACTCCGGCAGAGAACCTACCTACATGCTGGCGATGGCTATGGCGAGCGAGCCTTGATATTCACATTCTTACGATGGTGATGGTGGTGATGACTATGTTTCGAAAGTGGTGACGATGTTGTTGGCCAGAAGTGGGTCTGGCGACGATAGACTGCACGACGATGGGGGGGCGGAGGGCGGGAACAGGAGGAACAGAAACGCAAGGAAGGAAGAAACCCAGAACACCGAACCCACATGAACAAGACACCGAATGCGATGAACAGAGCTCATGTGCTCAGCCTTCTTCCCTGTGCTTGGACCACCACCTGCGCCCGCGGAGGGCCCCCGAACCGTGCCGGAGGCCGCGGGAGTCTCGCAGCGGGGGGGGGGGCAGAGCCCGCCGCGGGGGCCCCCATGGCGCCGGCGCCGGCGGGGCCCGAGAGGGCCCCCGATGCCCATGCGCCACCGGGCCCTGCGCCCGGTGGGCGTGGGGAGGAGGGTGGAGGGAGGAGGAGGAGGAGGAGGTGGGAGAGGAGGAGGAGGAGGAGGGAGAGGGAGGGGAGGAGGAGGAGGAGGATGCGGAGGAGGGGGAGGAGGAGGGGGAGGAGGAGGAGGAGGCTTGCCGTTGCTGCTGCGCCGCTGCACAAGCGCGGTGGCGGGGTCTGCCGCGGGCAGCTGGCGAGTGGACTCGAGCTGCTCTTCGACTGCTGGGGCAGGCAGTGTCGCCAACCCTCCGACGCTCTTGACGCTTCCGACGCTTCTGGCACTTCCGACGCTCCTGACGCTCTGGTGCCCAAGAGCTTCGCGACGCTCCTGACGCTCCGGGCCCCGCGAGCTTCGACGCTCCTGACGCTATTGACGCTATTGACGCTTCGGACGCTCCTGACGCTCTGGAGCTTCAGAAGCCTCAGGAACTTCAGGAGCTTCAGGAGCTTCAGGCGCTTCAGGGGCTTCAGGAACTTCGGGGGCTTTCGAAGCTTCGAGGGCTTCGAGGCGCTGCGCCATGCGAAACCCTGTCCAAGGAGGCTGCCCACGCTCGCGCCCCGGGAGGCCTCCGGAGGCCCTGCACCACGCGACCACTCCCGTCCAGGGACTGCCACCGCTCCCGCCCTGGGAGGCCCCCAGAGGTCCTACACCATGCGGAAACTCCCGCTCCCGACGCTCCCGACGCTCCCGGCGCCCCCGACGCTCCCGCCGCTCCCGACGCTCCCGACGCTCCCGACGTTCCCGCGCTCCTGACGCTCCCGGCGCTCCTAACACTCCTGACGCCCCAGGCGCTCCCGACACTCCCAGCGCTCCTGACGCTCCTGACGCTCCCGACGCTCCCGACGCTCCTGTCACTCACTCCCGGCGCAGCCGACGCTCCCGACGCCCCGACGCTTCCGACGCTCCGGACGCTGTCGGCGCTCCCGACGCCCCCGACGCTCCCGACTTCCCGGCGCTCCCGGCGCTCCCGACCCTCCCGATGCTCCTGACGCTCCTGACGCTCCAGGCGCTCCTGACGCTCCCGACACTCCCAGCGCTCCTAACGCTCCTGACGCTCCTGACGCTCCTGGCATTCCTGGCGCTGCCGACGCTCCCGACGCTCCCGCTCCATGGCGCTCCCGACGCTCCCCGACGCTCCTGGACGCTCCCGACGCTCCTGGACGCCTCTGACGCTGCGGAGCTGCAGGAGCTTCAGAAGCTTCGGAGGGCTACGGCACGTTCGTGTCGTGCCAGCCCTGGCGGGGGTCCCTGACACCGCAGGCACCGTTCAACCTTGACCAATCTGGTAGTTTCTACCAAAACGTCCGATCGCTCCACATCGACCGAATTGGGGTCGCCCGCGGCGTTCAGCCTTGAACACCCGCGCTGGGGTCGCCGCTGGTCGACACGACGCGAGCCTACCCCAGACATGCGACGCCCTGATTTTGTCAGGACGGCGTCCCTGGAAGCCCCGACCCTTTCCCTGGGACCGGTTTTTCGTCCCGAGCCGTTTCCTGACGCTCCCGAGGGCCTGGCGCGGGCCCCCCCGAGGCCGAAAACAGCCCAAACACCTCCCGCCCGGTTTTTTTTCGAGGCGACCCTGTCCGGGACCGCATCTGTGCCTCCACGAGGGCTATGCCGAGGGCCTCTGGGGGGCACGCAGGGCGACCCTGAAGCCGGGCCTGCCCCCTACAGGCCGATTCTGAGCGAAAAATAAAACATTGTCCAAACATACTCCAAGCGTAATCAAGAATGGTCAACAAATCGTCCCTACACTATTTTTGGACTATTCTTGAATACTCCCCCTGTAGAGGGACAGGCCCGACTGAAGGCGAGCCACGGAGCTAGAGGCCGCCTAGATGGGATCGGAGTAGATGGGGTCGGAGCATC